ATATTTATTTTTTAGTTCTCGGCGGACACAACATCTTTGTTTGTATGTGGTGCTGGGGATCGAACCCGGGCCGCACGCATGCCAGGCGAGCGCGCTACCGCTGAGCCACATCCCCAGCCCCTTGGTATATTCTAGAAAGTGCTCTTCCACTGAGCTATATCCCCACCTCCTTTTTAAAAATATTTTTGGTTGAGATGCACACAATACCTTAATTTTATATATTTATTTTTATGTGGTGCTGAGGATCAAACCCAGTGCCTCACACGCACGTGCTAGGCAGGCACTCTACCACTGAGCCATAGCCACAGCCCTATCCTCACCCCTTTTTCAATTTTATTTTGAGACAGAGTCTTACCGTGGTTGCTAAGGCTAGCCTTGAACTTGTGATCCTCCTGTCTCAGCCTCTCAAGTATCTGGGATTGTAGACAAGCATCACCACACTGGGCTGCATGTTATTTTTTATTAATTGGAAAAAGAAAAAATGTCACATTTGATAAATAAAGATGAATTTGAGCTGAGTGTGGTGAATCATATCTGTAATCCTAGAAATTTGAAAGATTGAGGCAGGAGAATAGCAAGTTTTACCCCAGCCTCAACAACATAGCAAGATCGTGTCTCAAAATTTTAAAAAGTTTTAAAAATTTAAAAGGGCTTTGGATGTAGCTTAGTGGTACAGTATTGTGGTCTAAATATGAGGTATCCCCCATAGGCTCATGCATGAGACACTGCAAGAGGGTTTAGAGGTAAAATGATTGAATTATGAGAACCTTAACTGAATCAGTGAATTAATCCCCTGCTGGGAACTAAGTGAGTGGTAACTAAAAGCAGGTTGGCTAGAGGAGGTCGGAGTTTATATTTTATTATGGTGAAGAGAGCTCTCTCTGCTTTCTAGTTCCACATCCTCAGCTGCTTTCCTCTGCCTCTTCTGCCACAATGTTCTGCCTTACTTCACACCCCAAGGAATGGAGTCAGCCATATATGGAGTGAGACCTCTAAAACTGTGAGTCCCCAAATAAACTTTTCCTCTAATTTCTCTTGTCAGGTCTTTTGGTCACAGCAACAAAAAAAGCTGACTACAACACGCAGCATGCCTGGGTTCAATGCCCAGTACTACAATAAATAAATAAATAGGCACTATTTCATACCAATGCCCTCTTTGTTTATTCACACTATTTAATGTTTTTTAATTTTTATATTTTAAATCTGGAATGCTTCACAAATATACCTGTCATTCTTGTGCAGAGGTTATGCTAATCCTCTCTGTATCATTTCAGTTTTACAGTATGTGCTGCTAACGTGAATACTAATACATGTTTAATAGCAACCTTATCTAGAGGAATAATGAGGAGAGAGAGTGCTCAAAAAGGAAAGGGAAGGGAAGGTGTTAAGCAAAAACTGCCATTACTTCTACCACCACACTCTACCAAATATACCAATACTTACCAAGATATTTATTTCTAATGCTGGTTTCATGCTCAGAACTAAAGGTTTGTAGGGACTTGTAGTTATCCATCATTACAGGAACCTTCTCTGTGGCATCCTGGAGGATTTCATACCCAAGGCCAATATGATTTGGAATGGCTGATGCAGTCTATCTTTCTAAACTAAGAGAAGGACCTTGTGAATACAAGCAGATGATAAGGCAGAACTTTTAAAGAAAAGATTACTAGAAAGTTGAATGTCTAAAATTGAATCTCTCAAACCTATCCAAGTACCCTTACACAAAACTCCAGCTGGAAGACCATTAGCATAGAAAACTTTTTAAAAATACATATTTATGTCCCTCTTATACTCCACTGTTCTCCTTCCATAGCTAGAGGGGAGAAGGCAATCCAGATCCATATTTTTTAAAAGTCCTCCAAGACGGGCACAATGTTATTTGCCTCTAGTCCTAGATACTCTGAAAGCTAAAGCAGGAGGATAATTTGAGTTCAGGAGTTTGAGGATAGTCTGGGGACAGAGAGACCCGTGTCTAAAACAAAAGTCTCCAGGTGATTCTGAGGATTAACCATTCAGTTTGAAAATCACCAAACAATTCACATTCATTCCGTTTTGATGGGGGTTCAGACTTTAATACCTGCTACATTACTTATGGATTAAATTGGTACTTCAGAACACAACATCTTATAAAAATGGCATACCTAAACTCTTTAAATCACTCTCTTGCGATAAAACATTTGCAAGGAAATCCTAACACTCTTCTCTATTATTAATGTCTAAATATCAATTTAAGATTGATAAAGAAGAGAATTTATCTGAATACACTGAAACATCTAAAGAAACCCAATGTCAGGAATGAATACTGCCTGGTCTTAGAAGGTACTGGATCCAAGCATTTCTCTGTCTTGGTTTGGCTTTCTCCTTGTGCCCACTCTATTCTTCTTTCCATAAAGATAGTGGAGCTGCTCAATTCTTGAGGCAAAACATGGCAATTCCCCTGACCATGAGGGGTAACATTTCTTCCACTTGAGAGTCTAGCTCAATGCTGGGCATGGTGGCCCAGGCCTGTAATCCCAGCAACTAGGGAGGCGGAGGTAGWAGGATCTCAAGTTAAAAACCAGCCTCAGCAACTTAGTGAGGCCCTAAGCAATTCAGCAAGACTCTGTCTCAAAATAGAAAATAAAAAAGGCTGGAGATGTGGCTCAGTGATTAAGCACCCCTGGGTTCAGTCCCCAGTACAAAAAAAAAAAAAGTCACTTTTTTTTTTAAATTTTGATTTGTTCTTTTTAGTTATACATGACAGTAGAATCTATTTTTTAGATATTTATACAAACATGGAGTATATCTTATTCTAATTAGGATCTCAGTCTTGAGGATGTGCATGATGTTGAGAGTCACTGTGGTGTAGTCCTCAGAGATATGTCCTAGTCCTTTACTCAAATTCCTAAAGAAGGAACACTGAATGGCCCATTTGGAGTTAAAACTCATGCCCTAGTTTTATCATTTGAAGTCACAAGGGAAGAGTCACAAATAAATAAAGTAGCCAAGGACAACTGCTGCATATAGGGAGGTGGATGGGGAGGGAGTCAAGGAAGCAGTTTAAGGGGGTCTTTCTGAACAGAGCAGGAGTTCTGCTGAGGAGACAATTTCAGACTTTTTAAGAAATTGCAAATATAAAGAATTCCCAGATTCCCCAAGTGTTAGTGTGTTCCATGATCACAGCTTTATTTATTGAAATTAGGGAAGTAATATTAATATAATCACATTATCATTATAGACCTTATTCAAAGTTTGCCAACTGTCCCACCATTTCTCTTTTCTGGTCCAAATTGCGATGGACTAAATGCTCATGTCCCTCACAAAATTCATATGTTGAAATACTAATCCCTGAGGCCATGGGCCTTTGGGAGGTGATCAAGTCACCGTATGATTCCACAGCTCCATGTCTCTCCTACACTAAACTTATCCCAGTTGCTCCTTCCCATCTATCTGTGTGGTTATTTGGTTAATTTGTCTACCCCATTAGAACATAAGCTTCACCGGAGCAATAACTACTTCAGTTTGGTCACCTCACTTTAAAAATGATGATGCCTGGGCTGAGGTTGTGGCTCAGTGGTAGAGCGCTTGACTAGCACTTATGAGGCACTGGGTTCAATCCTCAGCACCACACAAAAATAAATGAATAAATAAAAGGTATTGTGTCTACAACTAAAAATACACATATTAAAAAAAGTGATGCCTGTCACATATTATGTGTTCAATAAACATTTATTGATTAAACAAATTAATTCTTTCAAAAAAATTTGTGATGCTTGGAACCATTGTTAAAAAAATTATTTGTAAAAGTGTGAAGAAGGGGGCTGGGGTTGTAGCTCAGTGGTAGAGTGCTCGCCTAGCACATGTGAAGCCCTGGGTTCGATCCTCAGCACCACATAAAAAATAAATAATAAAAAAAGTATTTTAAAAAAAAGTGTGAATAATACTGCAATACGATCTGTGTGGTTGGGTATGGCTTTGTAAAAAACATTAAATAAATCTCAGTTGAAGTACCCTATTAACAATTAGCCATGTGTTAGACAAATCACCTATAACTCTGTTGGAACTAGTCACATTATTATGAAGAATGGCCTTAGGGACTTTAACAAACTTCTCTTAATATACCAGAGTGTGGCCTTACTAAGGTTATAAAACTCATTGGGTAATTAACTGAACCCTGCTCCCCCACAGATGTGCACTGATTTCAAGAGGGCACAGTTCATGTTAAAAGGTGAGTAAAAGAGGCTTTAGAGCAAGAACTTACCAGTAGCCAGTAATGCTGAAGCCAAGTTTTTTCCCTCTTTCAAAAGAGTGAAGATGGCATGCTCTTGTGGAGCACATGCTTAGTATGCATGAAGTTCTGGATGTGATACCCAACACCATCACTTCCCCAAAAGAGAAGGTGACATCTTCAACATTTGCAGTGCTTCTTTGGATTTTATGTTTTATACTTTTATTTATTACAAATGTAATGAATTTATTTGTGACAATCAAAAAATGGAAGAAAAATTCAAATTTTCTTCCTTTGGGAAAATGGTTCAACAGACTATATGCATCTACACCATAAAATACCACTCAGAAATCAAATGAAACAAACTATTGAAACATACAACTCAGATGGATTTCAAGGTAAATATACTGAGCGAAGAAAAAGACTGAGGCAGGAGGATCGAGAGTTTAAAGCCAGCCTCAGCAAAAGTGAGGAGCTAAGCAACTCAGTGAGACCCTGTCTCTAAATAAAATGCAAAATAGGGCTGGGGATGTGGCTCAGTGGCCAAGTGCCCCTGAGTTCAATCCCTGGTACAAAAAAAAAAAGACAATATCAAAAGGTTACATTTTGTATGATTCTATTTATATAACTTTGGACAAAATTATGAAGATGGAGAACAGATTAGCAATTTCCAGAGGTTGGTAGTGAGGAGGGGTCGGGCCTGGAAGGCCTGACCCTGAAGAGGTAGTGTAAGGGTTCTTTGTGGTAGAATGGTTCTGTATCTTACTTGTGGTGGTCATGTGAATCCATATGTGATAAATTTATATGGAACTGTACACACACACACACACACAACTAGATATAAACCTGGAAAAATCTGAATAAGATCTGTGAATTGTACCAGTGTCAATTTCCTAATTTTCACATTGGTCTATAGTTAAGTAAGATTTTACTGTTAAGGGAAGCTGAGTGAAGTGTACATGAAAACTCTCTGCTACTTTTGCAATTTCCTGTGAATCTATAATTACTTCAATATAAAGTTTTTTTAAAAAGCAATACAAGGGATTTCTAGTAAAATGATAGATTCAATGTACATGATTACTTTCTTTTGAAATCTCAATAAAAGGAGTAGAGAAATAAAAGTATTACGAACCTAGAAGAACACACTTATTTATAACCGGTTTCTCTGAACTACAGTAGAGATGACTTCAGGGCAAGGAGCAGTCAGCAGGAAGAGTCTTGTTCTGAACAAGGACACTAAGAAGAACACCATATTATGTAAGCCTGAATGAATTACCACAAAGACAAGCTGCTAGGGGGATCATGGCTCAAGAGGCTTCTGCTGCCTCCTGACAGCTGGAGATGAGGCAGATACAGCCTTTAATGGGGCAGGAGAATTGAGCGCCTGGGGAGAACCAGAGTGAAGGCTGAATGTGCGTCCAGAGGAAGAGTTGAAGTCTGAGCTATTGGGAAAAAGCAAGCAGACAGCACAGGAGCGGATGAAGCGAGGTCCCCAGCACCTTCAGTGTTTGAGGCTTACTCTGTGAACTAGCAGGTAAAGTTCCCTGATTTATAGGGTAAAGGTTAGGCTACCCAGCCCTAGTCTAACACAGTGGTTTTCAAATTTTTTGAAGCAGGAACATTTCCTCTTAAGTGAAAGTGTAAAGAACCAAAACAAAGTGGAGTTGCTCTGGTAGAAGAAGCAAGAGGTGGGTATTCAAGACCCAAGCTGGGTCTCAATGCCGCTAGGCCTCCTTAGGGCCCCCACCCATAAAAGCAAAAAAAGGAATTCACAAATGCAGTGACGATTTTCTCTAGTTTTGAGAAGTTAGGTTTGAGCCCCAATTTTTTTAAAAGCATATGTATGTATATATATATATACTTTTTAAAAAAAATTGTCAATCGACCTTTATTTTATTTACCTATATGCGGTGCTGAGAATCAAACCCAGTGCCTCACACATGCTAGGTAATTGCTCTACCACTGAGACACAATCCCAACTCTGGACCCCAGTTTTTAAGTATGCAAATTAACTGGAATGTCTCAAGAATCCACTAGATGGAATCTGAAAAAGGAAACTTTGAATTAGTACACCAGTAATAGTTTTCCTTCTGCTTC